AGCGGTGAATGTTCCAACACTGGAAGTTTTTAAGAAGAGACTGGACAGCCATTTGTCTGAAATGGTGTAGGGTTCCTGCCTGAGCAGGGGGTTGGACTCGATGACCTCCAAGGTCCCTTCCAACTTTATTATTATTATTATTATTATTATTATTATTATTATTATTATTATTATTATTATTATTAGACATCTGCCTGCCCGCCCAGCTGTGCTCTTCCTCCTGGCCGAGGTTTTCATTGTTGTGAGCATTTCTGTTGAGGATTGGCAGCGGGGGTGGGGTGAGGGGTGTTTGGTTTTTATTCCCCCCGTCTGCTGGGTGGTTGCAGCAGGTTTTGGTCACTTCACATGATCCTGGGACACTGTGACCATCATAAATATGAATCAGTGGCCAAGTATCTGAATGTAAATCACAAGACCCTGGAGATGCTGCAACATTCCAGCTGATGGGCGCTTCTTCTGGGCTCAGCAGAAGTGCCAGGATCAGCGCCGAGCTCCAGCTGGACCCTGGTGCTGATCCTGGCGCTTCCACTGAGCCCTGACAGCCCCGAAGAAGCGCTGATCCTGGTGCTTCTGCTGAGCCCTGACAGCCCTGCAACTCCAGCCATCTCTCACTCAGGTTTGTGCAGTGCTGCCACCGGTTCAGCTCATTCCCCTCCCCTGCTACCACTTTTCTAGGATGGTTGTATACCACCTGCCAGGTACCAATGTACCACAGGTGGTACCCGTACCACTGGTTGAAAAGCCCTGAGGTAGAAAACTAACAGCCCAGGGTGAACTCCTTGCCCGAACTCCTACCCCCTACAGTTAGAAAGTATGCAAATGTGAGTGGATGAATAGATACCACTTTGGTGGGAAGGTAACAGTGTTCCATGTGCCCTGATATATAGTCATGCTGGCTACTTGACCATGGAAATGTCTTTGGGCATTGGCTCCCTCTGCTAAGAAACGAAGATTAGCACTGTCCCCTAGAGTAGGATATGACTGGACAGAGGAAACCTTTATCTTTATATCCATCCATATTTTTAAAAGTACTTTTTTATGAAAGAATTGATTTGTTTTCATTAAAATGCTGAGGCCAAAGAAGGTAACACTTCCTTATACAAATTCCAGCAAGCAGCATCCGAACATCAAGTGCTTTGCCATAGTTGCAGAGCCTCCCTCCTTCGCTATGTTTTACAAAGCTTCTAGTGTCAAGTAAAAGAAACTTCACATTGCCATCAGGTTCCAAATCAGCACATTCAATATCCCAGAAAATAAATTTGTATTTCTCATGATGCCATTACAATTACAATAGCAAACCCAAAGGACACATCTACAAATCAAATTTAAGCGCCTTTTTAAAAATTAACTCTAGTTTGTGGAGTCCTAAATATGCAGAAATGTAGTGAATCTGTTTCTGGTATTTCCTGGAGAGAAGGAATCAGTCAGATATCTGTTTACTCAAAACAGTAATAATACCTAAAATTTCCAAATGTGTTGAAGAGTTATAAGGGCAAATACGTACAAACACTGATATTCACAACACACTTTTTAAGCATCTTCAATAACATGTCTTATACAAGAATGCTTTACAAATAATCAATTCCATTATTTGGGTGCAGTGATAGTAAAAAAGTACTACTCAAATAACATAAACTTCAATTTTCGTACAAGGGTCATAGTATTAAAGAATTAGGAACATATCATTTAGTGAGATCCATGAATCAAGGGTAACTAAGGGTAAATGGAGATCAAAGCTAGTTCATAGAGAGCCAGTTTTCAAACATAATGTTTAGGAGTGTGGATTTTCCTTGAATGCATGCTTGTAACTACATGAATTCAGTGAAAATCAAGAAATGAATAGAGAATCATAGAGCTATGCATAGCTGCAAGCATTCTCTCAGTCTTGATAGAAAGCTTATACAAAGAAAAGTACCCCTTGAATTGAGTTTGACTCCCGGTGACTTCATCGTTGAGCTTGACTGGTGGTTAATTATTACCAACTTTCCAGGGTCTACAAATTTGAAATTTCTTGATGATCTTTTATCCAAGTACTAATCAGGTCACATCTTGCTTAGATTTTTTTCTAATTCATCCAATTAATTATAGGAGGAAAGTATTTGTCATAGACATTTCAAATATAAGCTGTAATTTTTAAATTTTAACCAAAAGCATAAAAATAATATTAAATAATAGTTTTATCTTTTATCAAAGCATTATCTTCTCTTTTTCCTAAATACCATTACTAGGTCTATTTGCGTACTATGTTCAGTCACAGTTAACATAACCATGCTCTCTTGAACAAACCACCACTGGCAGGGTTCATACAATATGCTAAGCTTATGGCTGTAGATTGTCAGAATCAATCCATAGTTTCACTGATATGAATTCACAGTTGGTTTATTTCAATGGAAACGTATACTCATTTTATTTTGCTTTAGGAATTTACGAAACATTGTATTTATTTATATTTATTTATATTATGCATTTTTGGATCACCATCTCCTTCTCCCTACTAGATCAGAGCTAAGGATTTTTAGCCCAAAATTCTGGTTTCCACAGGACTGAATTTGATTCTTAAAAGAAAGTTAAAGAACAAAATATCATGTCAATCGCCCTCCCCTGATTTCTTTATGACTTCAGTTCAATTTGCAAATTGCATAGCAAGGAGTTTGAAATAAAAAGGTGAAAAAGTAATGCTCATAAAGTATCTATTAGTGTAAGACAATGCTCTAAAATCTCCCTCCCCCATCTATTCTTGACCTCATACTTCATACTAAGTAATATATAATTTCACAGGCATATACAAATAGCCATGATGATGCCAAAATTATGAAATGTGTGTAGAGTTATCTGTTCTTTCCTATTTATATTGCAGTGGTGAATGAAAGTATGTAAGGGATGAAATTTGTGTTGCAATATTTTGATATATGTTTCGTCACTCGCCCTGTTTGGCTCCATAGATACCTATGTTTGATTTGTTTGCCATTTACCATAATATGTGAACAGCCAGTAAAAAACTTCTTTAAAACACTGACTTACTGGATAATGGCAGATAGCTTTTGTATAGAAAATGTGAATCAGCATTAAAGAAATGGGAGAATTTCATTTAAACGGTTAAATCTGTTTAATTGTTATCTTCAACTGTTAGAAATCTCTTCCCACAATTTTCTAGCAAATTACATCAGTTTTCAAGATCACTGAAATGATTAATTGTAGATTACTTTCTTCATCATGTTATGAAAGAAGTAACAGTCTTAGTACCATAGTTCTAGTTAACATAAAATCATTTTTCCTTTTACTGCCATTATCTTAGCTACAGCAAAATGCTAGCAACTGCCTCCTCCTCCTCCCCCAATTTCAAAATACCTCTATGATAAGGGTGTAAAAGTACTGCAGGTATGTGATCAATGGGAATCAAGTAAGAGTTGCCAATTCCACTTGTTACTAATGCTCTACCTTGGGGAAGGTGGCTTCTGACGTATCTTGCAAGGAGCTTCCAGATATCTGCAAATCAAGTAAATTTTGATTGAATTTCAAGCAGGCTAATGTTTGGGCAGCAGTCAGTGTTACCAAAAATATCAGTAAGAAATAACAATAACTAGAATCTATTATCATGTTTGATCATGTTAAGATAATTTTATGAACGTCTATTATGTTCCCCTACTAAAAAGTCCAACTTCATAAATATTTCTCTTATCTTTCTCTAAAGATGCTCTCTCATATTTCTTTTAAGCTGTACCAAATATTACGATCTTTTGTGCTTTATTTTCAATACATTTACTAATAAATACAAAGGTGAAAAGCAGTAAGTTTTTTCTTACTAAGGAATACCCTGCATTTTTTTTAAGGAAGGTAAGGATGCATATTGGAAAGATACATGTCTCATAATAAGAAAAATAAATGCTATAAGTTGTGTATGCATTTTTACTCCTCAAATAAAAGGAACTGAATACCTGATGCAGAGCCAGGTTTGGATTCTGAAGATCTATTGTGGCAAGAGACGGCATGCAAGACTCTGGAACAATTTTACTTTCTTTCTTTAGAAATCTGGAATTCCAAACTATTTATGGGAAAAAAACATTTGACTTTTGTTTAACAGAAATTACCCTCTGTAAAAGTATCAGACTTCCTAAAACATACATTGCTACATAGGACTTTGAGCTGCTTTTTCTTTTGATTTGACTGATTCAACTATTAATTTGCCAGTTGTTGATTTATAACAGGGTGGACAACATGAGGCCCTCCACGACTGTTGGACTGCACTTCACATTATCATCACATCACGTGCTGGCTAGGTAGGAAGGTAATTGAAGCTTAACAGAAGCTAGAGAGCTACACAATATCTTTTAAATGAGTTTTTTTTCAAGTTTGTTAGAGATATTTAGTTCAATTATTTTCCATTCCCCTGCTTATTATGGGCTGAACACGTGTGCACAAACATATGCATAATGAATTTTAGGATTTATCACATACAGAACTCGAGCTCATAGAAATGAAATCAAAAATCACTCTAAAAATAAAAAACATCTTAACTATTGACCTTGTCATTTTAATGTTCCTAGTTTAGATAGAACAGGGTAAATTTTCATTCAGAAAAATGTAACTGGCAATGATACATTGAGCTATACTTTTTAGCTTTGAATGTTATGATTATTCAACTAATTCTGAGCTATGAAATGTAAAAGACTGAAATCTTTTATAGAACCTTTGCTGAAAATGGATAAAATGATCAAATGATTTGTGGATTTATTGATTTAAAAGGTTTGTTTATTGGAAAAAGGAGCTATAATGTGTAATATGAGATGGTGGAGATGTAATTGCTATGCTAACTGCTGCAAACTGCTACAAAGAAGTTGCTCTTTAGGTATTTTTCTTTTTCTTATTCTCTTTATATTCTTCACTTTTTTCTTTCTTTTACATATTAAATAGATTTATATGGCCGCCCAATTCACACACAATGATTTTTTCCTTCTATGTTTCTGTAGTTTTTAAAAAATCTTTGTAAAATCTTCATTTAATAAAAATTATTCATAAACATTCTATAACCAAACACAAACCCTTACCATCCACACCTTTGAGTTCAGGAAGATGGCTGTAATTAAGCTCTGGCAAATGGACATCTGCTTTAGAAAACTCCCTTTTTTTTTTGAGGGACTGAAGAGCATTGTTCTCTTTTGACATCTATTACCAAGCAAATAAAATGTGATGGTGGTTTTGCAAAAAAATAAAGTCTAAAGTGAAACACCGTATATAGAGATTATATAAGCAGTACTAAATATCTACTCCATCCTATATTAATAGTGAGCCCATTCTCTAACACCAAAAGAACTTTAACCAGCATAATAGAGGGAGTGGAGGTAGAGGGGGGACAACAAAATTTGCAGATAGCTGCAGAAAGAAGTGATAGCTATTGAAAATATAATGTTGGAATATTGGGGAGGAAAGGAGGCTATGATGAAAGTTAAATCAGCTAAATGAGGGCTATTCTTTATTAAAAAAATAAAGCTTGAATTGCATCTAATAGCAGGAGATAGACCTACTATCTATGCAAATTGTGCCCATATCTTGATAAGCTTTAAGCAGATCCTAAATGAGTTATGAAAACACATAACAAAAATGATAATATTTTGTGTAATTTGGATAGGAACAGTTATGAAGAAATATGTGTGTGTGTGTATACATACATATACGTACACATATTTCAGAAAGAAAAAAGCATTAATTACAAATTTGAGAAGGATTGAAAAAACTCTTCTCTTTTTTTCCCCTTTAAGAAAAAATGCCTAGTTTTTCTCCTAGTGCTGTGCATGTTTCACTGTAGATTTGCTGGAAGGATTCCTTTATTTTTATTGATTTTATTTAAATTGCCCAGGGAACATTTTTGGCTGATGAGTATAGTAGAACTAAACAAAAGGATACCAAAATAAAAGGAAAGATAAAATGCTAAGAGAAAGGCCCTACTTGCTAGATATACATGGAAGAGTTATGGGGAACTTTGCTTTTCTTTCTTCTCTGCCCACTTTCCAAGGTCTGCATGCTCATCCTATGGTTTCCCAAATTCCCACAAGATGTGGCATAATAATAATAATCATCATCATCATCATCATCTATATAAAAATGTAAATGTTCGTTTGTTCAAAATCTTAAATCTCCGAAGGTTCTTCACCGATTGCTTTGAAATTTTCACACAACGTTGCATTCGAATACGCGTGTGTTTTTATATACCTATATTATATAGAGTCACACCTGTGACAGCTAAAAACATGCTTTTTTTGAAAAACAGCGCCATCTGTTGGACGTAAAAGCAACACACGCTTTTACCAGACTGAGCCAGGCAATGCGTGGCTGGGTACAGCTAGTAAAAATAATAACAATAAAGTTGGAAGGGACCTTGGAGGTCATCTAGTTCAACCCCCTGCTCAGGCAGGAAACCCTATACCATTACAGACAAATGGCTGTCGAGACTCTTCTTAAAAACTTCCAGTGTTGGAACATTCACCGCTTCTAGAGGCAGGTTGTTCCACTGGTTAATTGTGCTAACTGTCAGGAAGTTTCTCCTTAGTTCTAAGTTGCTTCTCTCCTTGATTAGTTTCCATCCGTTGCTTCTTGTCCTGCCTTCAGGTGCTTTGGAAAATAGCTTGACTCCCTCTTCTTTGTGGCAAACCCTGAGATATTGGAATACTGCTATCATGTCACCCCTACTCCTTCTTTTCATTAAACTAGACATACCCAATTCCAGCAACCGTTCCTTATATGTTTTAGCCTCCAGTCCCCTAATCATCTTTGTTGCTCTTCTCTGTATTCTTTCTAGAGTCTCAGCATCATTTTTACATCGTGGTGACCAAAACTGGATGCAGTATTCCAAATGTGGCATTGTAAAGTGGTATTAATACTTCACGTAATCTTGATTCTATCCCTCTATTAATGTAGCCTAGAAATGTGTTGGCTTTTTTGGCTGCTGCAGCACACTGCTGGCTCATATTTAAGTGATTGACCACTAGGACTCCAAGATCCCTCTCACAGTTACTACTATTGAGCAAGGAACCACCTATCCTATACTATACCTGTACGTTTGGTTTTTCTTACCTAAATGTAGAACCTTACTTTTTTCACCATTGAATTTCATTGTTAGATAGTGCCCAATGTTCAAGTCTGTCCAGATCCTCCTGTATCTTAAGACTATCTTCTGGAGTGTTGGCTATTCCTGCCAGGGGTCGTCTGCAAATTTGATGAGTTCCCCATCTATCCCCTTGTCCAAATCATTGATGAAGATGTTGAAGAGCACTGGGCCCAGAACAGAGCCATTGAGGACTATATGCTAAGTACGGCCGGTCAGCCAGCTACAAATCCATCTGGTGGTGATGCTGCCTATCCCACATTTTTCTAGCTTACCAAGAAGTAGGTTGTGATCTACTTTATCAAATGTTTACTGAAGTCCAAGTAAATTATATCCACAGCATTCCTCTGATCCATTAATTTTGTCACTTGGTCAAAGAATGCAATAAGGTTTGTCTGGCATGATCTGTTTTTGACAAACCCATGTTGGCTTTTAGTAATGACTTTGTTTGCCTCTAGGTGTTCACTGATTTGTTGTTTGATTATCTTTTCCAGAATCCAGAATATAAATACCAAATATTAGGAAAGTTCAAATATTTTCAAATAGAGCTTACCGATGCTGATAAGTTCACATTATAGTGACCTGCTGGTGATTGTTTGCCTTGCTTGATACAAGGATTGAAATATATTTTGCTTTTCTCATCAATTCTAAAAATAAACATACACAGAATGGGCATCCTTAAATTTAAAAGCCAGGTCTAAGACTATATAACTGAAAAATACAATTGTCCCAGACTGATCTACAGGCAGAAGATGTTGAGAGTTTGCAGAAATTAATTAGATCTACATTTGGGTCAGTATCTGTATAGAAGACTGCTAACATGAGTTAATATTGAAGTTGTCATGCTATATAACAATTACAGGAAGTAACGTTTGCTAATATCTAGGTAAGAGTTTTCTCCCTCCTTCTTCAACCTTCCTCCACCCTGTAATATCTACTCAGTTACAGGTCTTTTATTCTACTGCAGCACAATTGGGTGGGTGTTTTTTTTTAACTAAATACTGACAATGAAACCTAAACTTAAGAAAAACATTGTTGGAGCAATTCTCACTTTTTGTAGGCTGAGACCTTCATCCTATTTGAAAATAAGTATACTATAGCTATACTTAGGAAATAATGTATGAATTAGTCCTTAAGTAACATTAGATAATACGCAGAAATATGTACTTTCTAAATAGAAATGGCTAAAGTGTAAAGTAATCTGCAATACTGATACCAATTTGATAATTTATTCTATTTTTGTACCTGTAATTATGGCTTGCCAATGTTGTCCCTATTGTGGGAGTCCCATCGATGCTGGATTGTGTGGTGGAATAATTCTGTGCAATGGGAGGAATTACCATGCTTGGATTCTTCACATATTCTAGGCTACTGTTTGAATCCTGTATATATGTTGGAATTGTATTAAATTGCCCAGCACTGTTATCATACAGGAAACTCATACGTGATGACCTTTCAGATTTCAGTATGTCAGCCTTAGATACTTTCATTCTGAACAGCTTGGAGTCTCTGAGCTTTGAATTCACACCTAAATCCTGTTACAAGACACAAACCAAGTACTACAAATGAACTGAATACAAGTGAAAATTAATAGGCAATATTATATGAAGGTCACAGAAACCTGTAATTCTGTTAATGTTTGCACTATTTAGTGATACTAGGAGAACTATATGGAAAAAATATTATTTCTATCTGCAAGAGGCAACCAATCACATTCAAATCCACAGAATTGCTTTATGTACGTACAATTATCCTGATCCAACTATGGAAGAATACAGCTTTTGTTTTATCTCAATGAAACACAAAATACGTCACATCTATAATAAAAATTCAACAGAGATGACAATAAATCATCTGTTATCAAGTATACGCTAGACAAAGAGTTAACGTCAATCCTGGTCCCATAAACATGCTGTTAGTGTACCTAATAAGTGAAGTTCTAGTCTAGTAAGTCTCCTCACACACAGAAATGTAGATGTTGGCAGGAAGAGGTATGATAATGAAGAAATTAAAAAACCAATACATATAAAAACAAAAGGAAATTAAAGTATATTTAAATGTTTGTTACAAAAGTATCAATATAATTAAAACACTATATTTATTAATAGTTGTGCATACTAAAGGAGGAAGGATTTCAGGTCTTCCTCTCAAGATGGCTGCACGGTAAGGGCTTTTTTCCCCCTCTTACTGATGATGTGCTGATTTTATTGGCAGAGCTGGTTCTTTGGCAGTGCTGTTCCCTGGTTTTAAATGATAGCACTTAGGAATGACCCAAGACGATTCTTGGACAATCATGGCCCCAGTTGGAAAGGCAGGGTCTTGAAGGTTCCAATTCCCTCTGGAAGTGATCAAAGTCACTGGAGTATACATTTTCCTGTCAGCAGTTTCTTAAGTATGCCTGAATATTAACTTTCACTTTTTGAATGTATTGCTTCATTTTGTTTTTTGCTTTAAAAATTGATTAGCGGTTGAATGCTGATTTATTTCAACCCCTTGCTGGACTCTAATTGTTTGTTTTTCTTTTTGGTATGATATTTCTTCTTTTTGCTGTGTATATTCCTCCTTATGCAAACAGAGATAAGGCCCTGAATGTTTTCTATCATACCATCAGTAAGTTATCAACTATTTGCTTGGAGGATGCTGTTATTGTTATAGGAGATTTTAATCAGGTTTCCATCAGTATGTGAACTTCACAATCAGAGATGGGAATACATTGGATTTTGTTTATTCTAACCATGAATGCATTCAAAGCTATTCCCCATCCTCACCTTGGCTCTTCTGGCCATCTCTCTGTCCTGCTTATCCCAGCATATAAGTCTGTATTATGAAGCAGGTGAGGGTTTGGGCGGAGGGATCTACAGAAGTATTACAAGATTGCTTTGAGTACACGGATTGGGGCATGTTTAAAGAAGCTGCTGTACTTAACCAACATATTAATGTAGGTGAGTGTGCCACCACTGTGTCTGCATATATTCAGAAATGCATTGAGGATATCTGTGTCCTTAAAAATATCATGGTGCAGATTAATGAAAAACCATGGATGACACATGAGGTTCACAAGATATTGAAAGCACAGAATGTGGCTTTAATCCAGTGATATGCTGGTGCTTAGAACTGCCAGAGCCAATTTGAAATATGCCATAAAAACAGCAAAGCAATCCCATTGTCAGAAAGTTCAGAATTTCTTTCAGGACTCTACGAACATCAGGTGTATGTGGCAAGGCATCCAGGCCATTACAGACTATAAGCTGGCTCCATCGTGCTGTAAGGATAACAGTATTTTTAAATGAGCTGAACACATTTTTAAAAAAAGAATTGAGGCATCAAATATTACCTGAGAGGAAAGCTATACCCCATCCTGATGAGAAAGTGATTAGCTTTGATGTTAGCTCTGTCTGGAGGACATTGTGGAAAGTTAACATTATAAATCAGCAGGCCTGGATAATATCCCTGGGCATGTTCTTACGGAGTGTGCAGATGAGTTTTTACACATATTTTCAATCTTTCATTGCAGCAGGCAGTTTTAAGACTGTCATTATTTTGCAAGTGCCCAAAAAGTCTTCAATCAAGGTGTTAATGATTATCATTGGTTGCAATTACGTCCATCATTATGAAATGTTTTGAAAGGCTGATAAAGGACTTTATTGTACCCAGCCTCCCTCCAGCATTTGACTCACTTCAGTTTGCTTATTGTCTAAATCCTTCCACTGAGGCTGCTGCTTCCTATATTTTCCATCTGAGCTTGGCAGACTTAAAGGAATATTGTTTGTTGACCTTAGTTCGGCATTTAATACAATCACTCTTCAGCATTTAGTAGATAAATTGGGCCTTTCAGGTTTCAATACTCCTTTGTGCAACTGGATTCTTGATTTTTCTCATTGATAAGCCGCAATATGTGCAAGTTGGGAACTATTATTTTTAGCTCATATTCTTGAGCACAGGCTTTCCTCAGGGCTGTGTCCTAAGTCTGCTGTCATTCACTCTGCTGACTCATGACTGTTGGGCAAGGTTTACTACCAACCATATTGTGACGTATGGAGATGATACAACTCTGGTGGGCCTTATTTAGGATAACAAAGGTGATTACAGGAGGAGGCAGAGGATTTGATGAACTGGTATAATAAAAAGAGCCTGGTTTAAAATGTAAGAAAAACAAAAGAGATCATTGTTGATTTCAGAAAAGGCAGCCCTAGCCACACACCTCTGTGTATTAACAATTCAACTGTGGAGGTGGTTAATAGCATCAAGTTTTTGGGTGTGCAGCTGATGAGCAGGTTAGCTTATGAGACACTGGTAAAGCGGGTACAGCAGTGCCTATCTTTTCCACATTGTATGAGAAAGCACATCTTCTTTCCCCTCTCCTTACCACTTTCTATAGAGGGATGATTGAAAGCATCCTGTTGTATTGTATTACTTTGTGGTTTGGAGGTATTACTGTTTCAAAAGGAAAGTTGTGAGAGAATGGTAAGGATGGCAGAAAAGATTATTGGAAGTTCACTTCCTTCTATTTAGGACATAGCATATAAGCATTGCTTGACCACGGTCCACAGTATTGTCTGGGGCACTCCACATCCCCTTCATGACTAGTTTTCTTTGTTACTTTCTGGGAGGAGGCTTTGTGGTATCTGAAGCAGAACAACTGGATTCGGTAATAGCTTTACACCATATAGTATCAACCTTGTTAATTCTGAAGATACCTTTTTCCGTTATGTATTCTAAATGGTCTGTGATTAATATATGTATGCATGTATGTATGTATGTACGTGTGTGTGTGTGTACGCGCGCGTGTATACAGCATATATATATATATACAGTTGCAAGAAAAAGTATGTGAACCCCTTGGGATAACACAGAGTTTTGCATGAATTGGTCATAAAATGTGCTCTGAACGTCATCTAAGTCACAACAATAGAAAAATACAGTCTGCTGAAAATAATAATGCACAAACATTACATGTTGCCATGGTTTAATTGAACATAACATGTAAACATTCACAGAGCAGGGAGGAAAAAGTATGTGAGCCCCTAGCCTAATGACGTCTCCAAGAGCTAATTGGAGCCAGGAGGGAGCCAACCTTGACTCCAACCAGTGTGATGATATTGGATGTGTTGCTGACAGCTGTCCTGCCCGTTAAAAACACACACCTGTTATGGGTAACTGGTTTCAAGAAGCACTGTCTGATGTGAACCATGCCTCGCAGAAAAGAGCTCTCAGAAGACCTACGATCAAGAATTGTTGACTTGCATGAAGCTGGAAAGGGTTACAAAAGTATCTCCAAATGCCTT